GTTATTTCCACCGGAACACAGACAGTTCACAGACTCTTTGGTTGATTCATAAATAATCAAATAGCCAAAATTTCGGTACAAGGAACGACAACAACCGGACGCGTTTGCAGTAAAGTTTGAACTAAAATTCAAAAAAACCACATTCCGCGTCTGCCAATCTAAAGGCGGCCAACAAACAGGTTCGAACCAAAAGAGAGAGAGAGAGAGAGCTAGAGAGAGAAAGAGAGCCAACCGAAGAGAGAGATAGAAATAGGGAGAGCCAATGGGCCAAATAATAAACAAAACAGAAGCTGGCCAAGAGAGAGAGAGAGCGAACATTGAATGTTTGTGGGGGAGAGCAAAAGAGAGGCCAAAAAACTATCGTGGTTTTAACTTTTTAGTTTAAAATTTGTATTAAACTAAAGGAAAAATTATATAGAAAAATATATTTTAAAAATTCATAATATTTTTATGTATTTTTTAAATAAAACTGTGTAATTTATCCTCAAAGATTAGATCAACATTTACATTCCTTTTCAATTCCCAACTGATACTGTAAATAATTATTGTAGCTGTATCGTAAATATATTGGTAGATAACTATCTTAATTAAATTGAATTTATATAACAATATTTTATTACAGATATACAAATCTTTAATTGTTAATTTTATATATATATATTTTTTAAATATATCTGTAAATATTTAGCCCTCAATCTAATGCAATATTTATAATCATTTAAAATTTCAAGATCATTTTATGGTACCTCTAAAGACACTATTGTAAATATACTTTTAAATAACTATTAAAATAAATTGAATTAAAATCAAATAAATTTAGAAATTTATTATATTTAAAACACTCAAATTACTTTAGTTTTAAGGTTTAACTTTTGGGCAATATATTTTTAATGCAGAGCGAAATCTGTCACAGTTCTAGTATGAATTTAAATGTTTAAATTTTTATTAAAGCTACTTCTTATTTGTTTTCCCAACTTTTACTCCAACTTTTAAATATTCCCATTTACACATTTTCGCTCAACACTATCATTTCCCACTCAAGAAAACTCTGGCAACTCATCTCCAGCCTCAACCGCTTTCCCATGCAACTTGTTTGCTGCCAACATGTTGGCCAACAGAACTAAAAACTAAAAACTAAAAACTACAAAACAAAATGACAGCAAAAAACGAACTCAAATCTGGCAAACAATGAACATTTTCTAGTACTTATTAGATGGTAACTACCTCAACCAAAGCCAAATTGGCGTCTAACAGAGATTTTCTAAAGTTTTTACGGCTGCCAAAATACTGAAAGAACGTGGAATTGGAATTGTCAACGAGCCTGCCAATTAGCCAAGTAGAAAAATGCAAGCCAACTGGCAAGAGCCAAGTTAACAGGCAGGCAGCCGGTTAGGCACCTTAAAAGCCTAATTGAGGGCCTCCACTAGTTAGACGCGGTGATTATGTACGGGAGAATACGAGATAACCCTGGACAGAAATAGGTTGAGAAGTGCAACGATTAAGGTTTAAACCCTTGAAGGTTAAGAGACATGTCAAGGTTGTAAAAGAAAGGGTACGAAATAATATATAAATAGATAAATCTATTAGTATACATATTTATATATATAAGATCCTTAAGGAATCTGCGTTTTAAGTTCCCATTTATTTACTACAGAGGGTCACATAACATTATCTGTGAAAACATTTACAAATCCTGCTCTGTACAAATATGTTTCAATATTCAAATAAAAATTTCGATTTTTTGCCCTAATCAAGTAAGTGCCTATATTATCTACAACTTCCAAAGTGGGGGGTTTGGATTAGTCGAAGAACGACTACGAATATCAGATTGACGGGCAGGTCTTAGACCACCTTGATTTTGACTTGAATTACGATTTATAGATCCCATTAGCCTGGTACTGGGTTTGGTACTGGTCCTAGGAGGAGCAGGTGTACGCTTTGGGGAACCACCTTTTGAGAAGTTTGAGGTTGATCCTTTTTGATAATGCCAGCAGGAACCCTGGATGTTTTGGAATTTATAACCGGAATCTTTGTTTTTCTCATCTGCTGAGGTTTAGCCTCCTTTGGATTAGGTTTTGCCATAGTCTGTGGAATTGGTTGAGGGATCTCGGGTTCAAGTTGAAAATCATCTTGATCAATAGTGGTATTAGATTCGGGTAGAAGGGAGACTTTGGTCACTAAAGGCAGCTCTTCCAGCTCGATGGGTAGAGGTTCGGGTATTGGCAAGACATCCTCAACAAGGCTCTCTGGCATGGCCATCATCACCATATCACGCTTGACATATAGAAAATAATACATAATATATATATCTTTTATATCATAAGCTTTCAACTCACTTCTTTCCATTTACGTCTCAAGGATATAACGCCCATTACACCGATTCCCATTAGGAAAAATGATAGAACTACCTGATAAATCGGATGTAAATCTCCCGCCACGAAATTCCACATATTAACCCCTTGAGTAAGAACCAACAGGCTGAAGGATATTGATGACATAGCGGTGATATCTTTATGGAAGTATCCACATCGATGGCCTGACGATACTTCCACATATTTGCGATTTAGACTAGAAAATTTAGTTAGAATATTTTTGAACTAACTAAAAGAAGGGAAAACCTATACGGTTCCAAAAATGAAGTACTGAGATGAAAGACAGACACGAAATGCTTGGATTCCTAAATCGAAACTATATAACTCTAAGAAAACTATGATTCTCTTTGGGTTTAATAACAAAATAAAAGCGAAATTTCCCTCACTTAAAGATTCAAATCTCTAGGTTTTTTCCCACCATTTTCCCGACTAATTGTTCTCAGTTCTTTGGGGGGTGGGGTCATTTTCCCCCCCTTCTTTATGTTTCCCAGCGAGGCGGCTTTGTGTTGAATGCCAAGTGCAGCGATAGGGAAAAACGTGTTCCCAGCAGATGAGCAAAAAACAAAGGCATTTGCATGACAAATTCAACTCCGCCAAAGAGTTGCAGTGGCTTTAACAAGAAAAACTAAAGATATATATGTATCTTTAAGGCAGAAGCTATGGGAAAAGCCAAGGTCTGGAAAGCTGACAGAGTATCTCACAGTTTATGGACTGCGTGGGGTTAACTGATTTGCACACGCCTTGAATGCAGAGCAAAAGTAATTAACTTTGCACATTTCAGACATTGTTTCAAGAGTTGTCACAATACAGAGATGGTTAGATATTAAAGAATGATAAGAAAGTTATAAATAGTATATAGAGCATATATATTAATAAATCCTATTTTATAGAAAATATATTCTTATAATAATAATATAGTATAAAATAGAAAATAGTATATAGAACATATATATTAATAAATCATATTTTATAGAAAATATATTTTCATAATAATAATATAGGGTTCTCGAAGTAAAAAACCACCTATAGAAACATTTGGAAATGTATCAGAAATGATAAATAAACCGCATAAAAACTTGTGAGCCTCAAACTTTACCCATAACTTAAAAAATACGATAAACATTATATCAAAACATCAATCGATAATAAAACAAATTCCATGATATAGAGTATATAGAGAAGTTTTAAATAAGGCATATTTTATAAAAAATATAAAAATAATATAGGGTTTCCGAAGAAAAAAACCACATAGTAATATATAGAAACCTTTGGAAATGCATCAGAAATGATAAATAAATCTCTTAAATGCTTGTAAGCTTCATTATTTTACAGAAACTTTGCCCATAACTAAAAAATACGATTAATATTATATCAAAACATCAATCAATACTAAAAATAAATCCCATATCTTGTCGCAAAAAATCTCTTTCACATCCCTAGACCTCGTTTTGGGTCAATTTTTTTGTATTTTTTCGACTTGACAAAATTGCCGGCCTAAATTCTGAAGAGTAAACAATTGCCGCAAGTTAAACCTGTTTCTGGACCCTCTCACTTCACTTCCTCTGAGTGCAAAAAAATACAATATATATAAATTCCGATGGCATGACAGCCCCAGAGAGTTGGCAAAAAACCCCGAGTCAAGAGGTAAGGAGTTGGCCAAGAAGAATGGTAAGAAAAGCATCGAGGGGGGAGAGACAGACAAAGACCCGCATCTTCTACCTTCAACCTTTTCACTCGGATCAGTTAAAAGCAAAAAAAAAGCAGCCAAACCACTTTTAGCCACAGGAAACATGGTCTTCGTTTGACAAGTAGAACTAGCAAAAGGAAGTTATATAAATATATAAACACATTTGCAGATACCAATCTTCAAATTCTCATGGGTTTCATCCTAAATCTTGAACCATTTATCTAATATATTTATTTGACTTTCTTTCGCTCAGAGTTGCAATTAAGCCCCAAAAGAAGGGAGCAATTTTAGTTGGTTGTAACTTTTATGACAGCCAACGCCAGCAATAAACATAAACTTTTTGGGGAGAAGAAAGGGAATGGTTACTCTTGAAAATGACTCAATTGAACATTCGGTTGTACAACAATTGAAATTGGGGGGAAAAAAGATGGCAAGAAAACTGATAACTATATCATGTTTGGGTAGAGAAGAAAATAAGCAATTGAGAAAACCAAATAATGGAAAATTGGGTAAATATATGAGGAAAATATATGAGAAAAATATATATATGTGAGCTGTAACAAGCCAATTATAATTGATAATAATAAGGCCGAGCTATAATTTGGTTGCTACATTTCAGTTAAATTGATTAAAGAATTATTAATTGTTGCAAAACAAAAATGGAAGCAAGGCTTTAATGTTTTTTAAATTGATTTTAAGATACTAAAAATTACTAGAAAATAATTCTCTAATATAGTTTCCTAGTCACAAACTAATTTGCAAAGTATTCTATTAAACTTAAACATAATTTTTTAATTAATCATCATATTTACAGCATTTTAAATAAAGTTTATATACAAATCGTTAAGCCAGAACCAAAATGAATCAAATATGAATGTTAGGATATTTATGAGGTTCTAAATGAAAACCCAAAAAGGAAATATATATTTGAGATGGCTTACTGTCTCATGGATCCCCAACGACGCTGGGATAAACTATCAGGATTGCTGTAAGAAAAATTTAAATCAATATTTATGACATATAAATTATGCCTTAAAAAACTGAAGTTAAAATTACAAATTTGCAAATATTTCTTTTAATGTAAAATGGGTTCAAGGTTTGAAGTGTAAATGCTTATCTTATAAAGCAAGAATTTGTCTTTAAATAATTATTATCTTAATTTAATTAATGCGTTCAGAAAATGTGACACTTATTTTAGTTAATTTCGAAAAATAAACATTAAATTCAATTTTCTTTTAATATAAACATATTATTTGATGAATAAAATTGATGAATAATTTGAAAATAGCAAACAAAAGATCTACTCATCAGCAAGTATATTTTTAATAAAATATACCCTCAAATTTCAAATTAAATAGATTCGGAAATAACAAATCTATTCATCTTAAAAGAAAATTAATTTAATTGTTTTCGGCATATGTACTATTTTTGTAAGAATATTAATATATCTAAAAGGAAATATGCAAATTTTAAAAGTTTCCCAAATGAATATAACGTTATAAAATACATATTATACTATTATTTTTTATACATTTTTAAATATAAGTTAAAGACTGTTCAGACTTGTGATCTTTAAACCTTTAACTAGGTGTCATCACGGTATACTTTAAGAGAGTGATCACATTAGTAATTCTCTTAACTCGCGATTCCCCTCTCTTACGATCAGGTGAATTCCCAAACTCACCACACACACGCACACCGAGTGTTGAACAAAGGCGGAAACAGATGGTGGATCAGCGGAGAAAGAGACAGGCAATGCCAGTGCGAAAGAGAGAGGGACATAAGAGATCATGCTTGGATCACTGAATGCGATGTATGAGAGATTCCGAGCCCCGAAGACCGAGACTCCACCATCACGCATGAGGAATGAATCACGGCTCAAAGCGTTTCTTCTACAGAGCATAGAAAAAACTGGTTTCTGGCCTGGGTTTGTGTATGCATTTTTAACACACACACACAACCATTATTGGCTTACATAAAGAAAAGGTTAACTATTCAAATTTGGTTGTTGTTGATGTTTTTTTTACGGACAGACAGACAAATTGAGAGTTTTTTTGATGAAGTTTTTGGGCCTGGTCAGCTTAATGTCCACACGGTGTGTTACGTGTGCAAAATAACCTTACGATTTGCCCGACAGCTATGGTAATTCGCATTCGCATCGATTTCCATTTTTGGGAAGTAATGATTTTTTTATTTTTACCTGGTGGGAGTTCGCCTCAAGCTGCGACGGGCCCAATTGTCTCGGGGCATTATGTTTAGTTCGTCATCACTGCAACAATGGAAACGTGTTAATAAAATAGTCAACAGTAATGAGAATATATAGTACATAATATACAAAGCATTTCAGGAGAGTCAGTTAGGTGGAACAATGGCATGGAGTTGATTTGATTGGATATAACAATAAATATTCAATACCCTTTTAGAAAAATTAGAGTAGGAGTTATATGGAATCTTATTTGCTTGAGCTTAAATTGATATACATATCAAATAAGGTTAATTTCTTGAAGAATTTATATAAAAACTTAGTTTAGAAAGATATTTAATAAAGTAAATACGGTTGAATCGTATATAACAATAAATATTCAATACTATTGCAACAAAATTACAGTAAGAGTTATTTACTATCGTTTTTTCTTGAGTTTAAATTGATATACATATCACAAAAGGCACCTTTTTTAAAAAAATTTATATAAAACATCGTTTAGAAACATATTAAACAATAAACATTCAATAAATATTCAATACTGTTCCAATCAAATCAGAAGAAGAGTATGTAAAATCTTGTTTTTTTAGTTTAAATAAGCATAAGTATAAAATTAGACTAATTCTTTAAAAAGTTTATATAAAAACATATTTTAGAAAGATAATTAAGAGTGTATATCGGTTTGTTTTCTCATTAACAAAGTTAGTACGGTTTCTAGTAAACAAAAATATAAATATAATTCAATTTACATCTCATTTCAAAAGTAAATTTTAATACAATTTATTTAAAGCTTCCTATCAAAAGAAAAGCCTTTCCACTAACTCTCTCAAAATGCCTTGTACACACTCTATATACCATCCAAAAAGGACTCACTCTTGTGGTGTTGATGCCCCCACATGGGGTGCCAAATCGAGTTCAATGCCTGTGCTTCCATTTAAATTATTATTCCCATCATTCGAGTGTCCACTGTGATTGTGCAGGGAACTTGTATTGCCACCATTCAGACTGTTGTTATTATTGTTGATGACGTTGCTATTGTTGTTATTGCTATTGTTATTAGAGCTTCGTCCTTCACGCAATTGGGTGGGATACTCATTTTCGCCATAGCCCTCAAAGGATTCGCCATCGGAGAGCGATGAACACTGGGACTTGGCCACGCCCGCTTGGTTTTCAAAGAAAAGACACACACATAATATATAATTAGTACTTGTATTACATTTAAGAAATTAAATACTCACCTGTACTGGAGGGTGGACTACTGGGCGTGGGGCTACTATCTCCAGACATTGTCTCGGCATAGAGAAAATTATTTGTATTGGCTTTTATTGAGGCATTGCCATTGGGCAGTTGAATACGTGGCATGGGGGCCATTTCAGGGAAGATTTACTGTACAGAAACTGTAAGGAAGATTCAAAAATTTAAAGGTTTTAGTTATATACTTCAAACACACTGCAAACACTGACATGCAGGTCAATAGGTCAAAGTGCTAAACTTACTTAAGCATGCAATGACTGAAAGTTTAGCAAAAGGCGTAAAGTAAAGAGGAGACCATCAATTGCTAATTTATTGATTGATAAAAGTCTATTACTTTAGCGTAGTTTATATAATACAGAAACTTGTTAGACAATCAATAAAATAAATCCCTTAAAATACACACTATCTCAAATGAATTTCCTTTAATCTCTTAGTTTTAATATACATTTAATTACATTTCCTTTCCCCGCAAATACTTGTGCAACTCTACAGGAATCATCTACATCAACAGGTGCTTTTCTCCATTTCCCGTCAAAGGAAAATGAAAATTATCAGCCCAAAACGTCATTAACTAACCTGAAACCGTATTTGGGTCGAGGTTTGTTGTGGACATTATATTATTTCCCTTCCTGAAATGGTCACTTTCCCTACCCCTCCAATTAACCAAAACTTCGAGGCATGACTAAGAGGCCTAAGTACTTTTATTGAAGTTCCCCGATCTTAGCGTGAGTAATTACCTATATTTCTTTCTCTTTTTATATATATATTTTTCTTTTTAATTGCTCGCCGGTTTGTCTGGCCAGCATTTTCGGGTTTCTTTAGTCGCATTTCACGCTTTCGTTTCGTTATTTTTTTTTGTCACAAAATCTTTTGTGGGTGTCGGCGGGGAAATGGTTGGAGTTGGAAAAAGTAGAGTAGAAAAATCTATAAATACTATAAGTACAATTGGGTATAGTGTTGACATGATTGATTGATATGTCAGGGCCGTTAGAGTAAAGCCTATATGAGAATTGGGTCAAAGTTTGTATTTTCTGGGAATTAGGTAACAGTATAGCGCAATTAGAGAGAAATACAATATATTGGGATATTATACTACCATTTGTTTAGTTTATTTTTATCGATATATTTATATGACAATTTTTTACGACAAATTAAAATTAAAAATCCTATAAATAAGCGAAAAATGAATTAATTTCAACTCGGAAAGCTGTTCTGTGCTAGTTTTTATTGGGTTAACAAATTTGTATATTGAATTTTAAAATTAAAGCAAATGTAAATTTTTTCAAATTTCGACATCTTGACAAAGAAAATTTTAAACGAAAAAATTATGAAAAAAATTGTCAAAAATTTTTTTTCTTCAGACATGGCTAGATCATTTCGGTTTTTCGTGCTGATCAAGAATATATATGATTTATAGGGTCGGAAATGACTCCTTCACTATCTTTTTAGCTCAGACTGATATTATGATACCATTTTTATACCCTTGCAGGGTATTATAATTTCAGTCAGAAGTTTGCAACGCAGTGAAGGAGGCACCTCCGACTATATAAAGTATATATATTCTTGATCAGGATCAACAGCCGAGTCGATCTAGCCATGTCCGTCTGTCCGTCTGTCCGTCTGTCCGTTTCTACGCAAACTAGTCTCTCAGTTTTGAAGCTATCTGAATGAAACTTTGTAGTTAGCCTTCTATATACTCTCACTCGTATATATGTCGGAACGGGCCGGATCGGACGACTATATCCTATAGCTTCCATAGGAATGATCGGAAAATTTTTACAAAAAAAATTTTAACTTTTTCAGTTTTCAATAGAATTGGCTCAAATTTAAGACATAGCGATCTTACTATACTCTACAATTTTGTATAAAATTTTATGAAAATCGGACTACTATATCATATAGCTCCCATAGGAACGATCGAGAATTAATACAATTAAATTTATAACTTTTTCAGTTTTCAGCTGATTTTCATCAAATTTGAGGTATAGCCATTTAATATAAGTCTTAAATTTTGTGGCAAATTTCATGAAAATCGGACGACTATAGGTTCTATACTACTATATAGGTTCCATACAAACGATCGTTTGATGTAGAGGAAAAATGCAAATCTGTGACTGTAAAATTGCAAATATAATATGAATAGGTGAATGAAATGAAAGCAGGTATTACTTCATTGTTTTTTAACACAAATATATATAATTAATATTGTATGGATTCCTATTCACAGAAGTTCTATCTGCAAGGGTATATAAACTTCGGCGTGCCGAAGTTAGCTTTCTTTCTTGTTTAGTTGATTTTTAGCGATATATTTATATGACAATTTTTCCGACAAATTGAAATTAAAAAAACTCATAACTAAGCCAATAATTAATTTATGTTAATTCGGAAAGCTGTTCTGTGCTAGTTTTTATTGGTTTAACAAATCTACATTCCGAGTTTTAAAGTTAAAGCAAATCTAAATTTTTTCAAATTTCGACATCTTGACAAAGCAAACTTTTAACGAAAAAATTATGAAAAAAAATTGTCAAAAATGTTTTTCCTTCGAACATGGATAAATCGACTCGGTTTTTTGCGCTGATCAAGAATATATACGATTTATAGGGTCGGAAATGACTCCTTTAAAAACTACGAGCTTCTGACTGAAATTAAAATTCATACATATATGCATATACATAAAATATCGAACTATCACTTAGGAGAATTTATAAAAATAATATAAATTGAAATATTATTTGTTTTAATTAAATTCCTATAATCTTCTTACAAAAGAATTTTATTAAACTTCTTCATTAAATAATCAATACATAAATATTCTCTAATAATATTAACATATAATATTATAACATATTTATATTTTCAATATTAAATCATTAAAATAATTTTCCTCTCCGGTTTTCAATATCTCTTTAAGTAATCCAAATTATATATCCTATATTGCTTCCAACCAACCCATCAATTTCATAATGAACTAACCACTAAGCTTGTGATTAAATATCGATTGTGTCTGGCACATAATTTGATGTAAAACGTTTTCAACTGGAATAATATGCAATAATGAGCATAAATATGTAATTAAACGATGGACGATGGATATGAGTGAAGAGTGAAGTTCAAAAGAAAGCCAAAGGAAAATAGTAAATACGACCAAGCCGACAAATCAAATGAAATCAAATCAAAGAAAAACAAGAAAGGAAGCTAACTTCGGCACGCCGAAGTTTATATACCCTTGCAGGTAGAACTTCTATGAATAGGAATCCATACAATATAAATTATATATATTTGTGTTAAAAAACAATGAAGTAATACCTGCTTTCATTTCATTCACCTATACATATTATATTTGCAGTTTTACATTCACAGATTCTCATTTTTCCTCTACATCAAACGATCGTGTGTATGGCACCTATATGATATAGTCGTCCGATTTTTACGGAATTTGCCACAAATTTAAGACTTATATAAAATGGCTATACCTCAAATTTGATGAAAATCAGCTGAAAACTAAAAAAGTTATAAATTTAATTGTATTAATTTCTCGATCGTTCCTATGGGAGCTATATGATATATTAGTCCGATTTTCATAAAATTTTACACAAAATTGTAGAATAATATGAAACGGCTATATCTCAAATTTGATGAAAATCTGTTGAAAACTGAAAATGTTCTACTTATTAATTGAATTAATTTCTCGATCGTTCCTATGGGAGCTATATGATATAGTCGTCCGATTTTCATAAAATTTTACACAAAATTGTAGAATAATATGAAATGGCTATATCTCAAATTTGATCAAATTCTGTTGAAAACTAAAAATTTTATAATTTTTTTTGTAAAACTTTTCCGATCATTCCTATGACAGCTATATGATATAGTCGTCCGATCCGGCCCGTTCCGACATATATACGAGTGAGAGTATATAGAAGACTAACTGCAAAGTTTCATTCAGATAGCTTCAAAACTGAGAGACTAGTTTGCGTAGAAACGGACAGACGGACAGACGGACAGACGGACAGACGGACAGACGGACAGACGGACAGACGGACAGACGGACATGGCTAGATCGACTCGGCTGTTGATCCTGATCAAGAATATATATACTTTATATAGTCGGAGGTGCCTCCTTCACTGCGTTGCAAACTTCTGACTGAAATTATAATACCCTGCAAGGGTATAATAAAACAGGCAAAAGGAAAAACTTGGGAGGGAATGCAAAAGCAAAAAAGAGCAATGAACCTTGGGTTGAACCCCCAAACACAACAAACACTTGTGCACTGAAAAAATCGATGAAAGTTACTCAAAAAACGAAGCACAATAAAAAAAACAAAAGCTGAGGAGACTAAACCACACAAAAAAATTGTTGGTTTTTTTTCCCCCTTATGCAATGGTTTTCTTTTGGCTTTTGGGTTGCTTTGCATAATAGTTTGAGAGTTGGGCGTGAAAATTTGTTGTGTTGTGTGTGCCACCCCCTCTTATGGTTCACATGGCTGACAACTATGACACTTGAGTAACTTTAACTTGGCTAATTTCTATAAAGAGACAGGTTATAAATATGAATAAACCCTTATTAATATAGGTCGGCTTTTAGAGGGTTGTAATATTTTTGTTAGAATTACAAGACTAGTATTTATGGTGCTTACATTTTTCAACACATAATAATTATTTTAATTATATATAAAAATCATTCTTCTAGCTTATTCTTTTTCACTGAATTTCCTTTAGTTAATTAATGCAAATGCCAATCTCTTTGCCATCTGGTTTGGTCACAAAAAGAAAAAAACCCAAAGAAAAATAAATCTACAAGAAGCTCTCAGAAGAATCAAGAAAATGCAGTTAGAAAATGAAGCCAACCCGCTCGGTTTACAGTTATTACTGCAGATGCTCAAGTGGCTTTAGCTTTTCCGAGTTTTCTCATGAATCTTCGCCACTCCTCACTGAGATTATAAGACGTATATATTTCCCATGAACACAGTTTTCTTTTGTTTTCTCAGCCTCTTGGCAATTATAGCTGCCATCCGATATGCAAAGCAAAAAAAAATACAAAAAAAATATATATTTCAAATACAAATAAATAAATAAAAAATTGTGTGAAAATTTCTAAACAAAAGCAGCATCAGAAAGAGTCTACAGAGTGTCGTGATTAACT